AGTGCCGACCTACGCCTGGCACAGTCGTCTGATAGGCTGTCGTCCCCTCCTGCCAGGATGAAAGAGAACAAACGAACGAGCCGAGCTAAGCCGAGCTGAGCCGAGCCGAGCGCGATGAACGGGGCGAGGCCGAGGACGGGCTTCGTGTAATGTAAACGGCAAGGGCCAAGGCCGTATTACTCGATGGCACGTTTTGCCATCCTCCTGCGAGTCTTTCGCTTCAAACTCTTTACAACCGCAACTTGACGTCGCGTATGTAACTGTATATGGAGTGCCCGACAACGTGGGCGGGTTTGGCAAAATCTCATTAAATTCAAATCGATTTTTCCTCTATCGGACATTTAATTGGAATTCTCTATCCGTGGAAATTCTAGATATCTTCAACGTTTAATTTTCAACGCCTTGCTATATAATATATAATTATGCCTCAAGAATTTATCTAAGCTTATCTAAAATTGCCTATAGATTAAAAGATTTTATTATATGCATTTTTGAATCGATTATACAGTAATTAAACATTAATATTCTCATTCAGGTATAATTTAAAAAAAATGAATAGTTTTACTATTTGCGCATTCAATCAATATTTAATATTCCTAAACTTTCTGTATATGGAGAATAAAACTTGAGATTAAACCTAATTATTTTTTTGCCTCATTGATAATTTATGGCATCTGGTAAATCAATAGATTCCTGGTACTACATTGTACTTGTAATACATTTCAATTAATAATTCAGTACGTGGCAACCTAGATTAATAGGTTGTTTATGCTTCAAGCTTTCTAGGATTAATCAATATTATAAATACTATTAATATTAATATATTTTTTGTGCCTTATTACTTTTAAATCTTTTATATAGTTATAGAGTGTTGAGTCATAAGTCTATTTTAAAATTATGAATTGTGTTTCTTGATAAAAAGGAAAAACAAGCATTTCTATGAAGGTTAGGTCGAAAATACCATTATCGAAATAATGAACATAAAAACAATAATATCAAATATTGACTGTATTTAAAACTTTCAAGCATTTTTTTGTTTACAAGAGATGATTAAACTCTTCCACTTTCCATACATAAAATAGAGAATCTAATCATCTGATACAGTCATAACTATTTCAAGTTTATTTATGTACACTAACGTATTTTGATAACGAAAGCATCTTACATTCATGAAAATATTTGTTTTTCCTTCTTATTTCGAAACTCGTTCACAAAATTTAAAAAAACGTACTTATGATTCATATCTTTATATTGCATTCTTTGCTTTTTCCTACACATATAAATAATACATAAATTAACATCGTTGTTTATTTCAGTTTTCAAGGAATAAAAGCACAATGGAATTATTTTCCTTTGGAAAATTCTTTTCTAATCTAAACAAAAACCTTTCTCCTTTGCTTCCTACATACTTTTTCATTCTTTTATCTATATTAATGTATATTAATCGCTTTACAATAGCTATGTAATTATTGCAACGTAATTCTGACTTCTCTTTAACATCGCTTGTACTCAATATTGATGCACAGACTATTATAAGTGTATTATGCTTCCACGAAGCTCGGATTGATTCCGCGAGACGGAGGTCATTGTTTTGTCGTACATCTGGGAAATCGTTAGTGCGCTTGGTATACGTACACTTGTACTGTCCAAGTCTGGGTAGTGCAAGTCCAAGTATACGTAATACTAGGTGCACTAACGATTTCCCAGATGTATGACGGATATATCGATATATCATTACATCACCACGTGGTACGTCTGCGTAGACTTATCGATTGAAGACAAGTGCGGCGATAAGAATTAGGTATACTGTGTTTACAAATTTCTATCCGTGTCTAACCCTTGAGTAATATCGTGCCCAAGTCTGGGCAGTGCAAGTATACATGATACTAGGTGCACTAACGATTTCCCAGATGTACGACGAATATATCGATATAATCATTACATCACCACGTGGTACGTCATGCGTAGACTTATCGATTGAAGACAAGTGCGGCGATAAAAATTAGGTATACTGTTTACAAATTTCTATCCGTGTCTCACTCTGCAGTAATATCGTGCTTCGGATATATCACAACTGGATGTTGCAATCGCGAGCAGCACGGACATGTTCGGCAATGAGTGTGACGGAAGAGTTCATTACATAGCCATATGTAGGTGTATACATATATACGCGGTAAATAGATAACAGGAGGAAAGTGGCGATATTGATTCGATCGTGAGAGAGACGGGAAATAGAGAGGGAACCAGTCTAACTAACTGTGGGGGTGGTACGGAATCGTCTGTGTTCGGCCCTGTGGCGAATAGCACGTGCACGCCAGTGTGCGTGTATGTCGGGTATATACGGCGCGGCGGGCTTCTTTTCTCTCTCTCTCTCTCACTCTCCCCCCCTTGTTACGCGCGCCTACGCACGCGTGAGAGAGCGCGCGCGTGTAACGTGCGGTGCCCCATTCCGCCGCCGAAGCCACTCCGCCGCTTCAACGACGGCTCAGTCAGCACCGACCCCCGACCCAACCTCTACCTCTACCCACGCCTAGTTAATGGAAACATCTTTTGTCAATGAACTGACGTCAGTCCGTGCGGCGATTGGTCGACCGCGTGGGCTCACGTGACCGGCGGCGAATCGCGTTGCACGGCGGCCGCGTCTCGCCCCTGCGCGCGACGTACCGAGCGCCCGCTGCTCCATTCTTCGACGAACGGTCGGTCGCGGTAAGGTGTGGTCTGCAGCAAGCGAGCGCGATAAGACGAGGGTAGAATTGTAAAAAACGATAGAGGAGAATTCGAAAAACGAGAGCGAAGGAAGAGGGAAGAGCACGGAAGAGGAAAGCGAGAAGAGAGTTTCGTGACATACTTCAACTGACTTCAAGTCGTCGAGAAGGCTCCGCGTCTTCTTGGCCGAGGGAATTCGCCGACGGATTGAGGAATTTCTTACCTCCTCGGGGCCGATGATCGAAGGAATTTTCGTAAGGTGAAGAAGTGAAAAAAAAAGAGAAGAACGAGAGAAAACGTCGACACCATCGAGAAGTCGTGCCGATCCGATCGGACGGATACGGAAACGCGGTACAGTTGTCGCGTACGCGGTCCAGCGTGTGCGCGGCGGCGAAGGCGAATCTACGCTCTGAAGGTGGGGGCGAATGAGCGCGGCGTGGCGCGGCGAGACGAGGTACGACGGTGGGAGTGAAGTGTGCGGCTTGCGGTGGGCACGACAAGGATGGAACGATCGCTGCTCGCGCGCGCCGAGAGGACGATGGGGGCGAGCTCACGGAGGGTCGGTGAGCGCGAGATAGAGTGAGCGCGTCGGTCGCGTACGGTCGGAGTCGGACATGCATCTCCCGCACGGCGAGCGTAAACATTCCACAGCCGTGCCGTTAATTGGACGCGTCGTCTTGATTCACGAGGAGATCGATAACCGGGACAAGCTGGCGGTGGCAGCGACGACGACGAAGACGACGACGACGACGACGACGACGACGACGACGGCGACGGCGACGGCGACTTGCACTCTTCTCTTTCTATGCCCAATCTCTTCTGAAGCAAGAGGTGAAGGCGGAGTAACATACGCAGCGCGGCGTAGTATCGCAGGAAATGATGGCAACGCGTGAGAACCCGTCGGATCGCGCCGTCGACGGGTGAACGTCGCGCGATCGTTCTCCCGGATGACGCATCCGGGAAACGTGTGCCGTCACTCAACTCCAAGTGCCATTTCGTATATATCCATATCCAGTAATTATTAGTCGCAGAAGACGCTCGTAGGAACACGCGTGCACGCATTCACTACGGATACATGGCTTCGTTCATTCGCTTTCATTGTGGAGAACGCGCGACAGGGCTGACGCGACTCGCTGGGCTCCGACGGGCTTGACGTGCAACCCAGGAGTCGACGTATCGCGCTCTAGCAAACGTGAAAGTTTCTTCAAGCGACGACCAGTGACGACCAGCAAGAATCATCGTAATTATCGTTGTAATTAACAACATTTTCACAGTTCTGTTGTTTACTGTTTGCCGAAGGTGCCGTGTCCAATAATGACGGCACTTCGATGCTACAGAGGCTTAAGAATATCTTTGTAGCAGAAACTCAGTGACTGATCGCTGAAGAAAATATTTAGATTCGGAAGCTGTTTGCGGGACAAATCAGCGCCGTTTCTCTAGAAGACACGTAAATACGACAAAACGCAAGAGTGTGCTAGAATACAAGTGTAAAAACTCAAGATGCCTGATAGTGCAATGGAAGAAGATCTTTTGGGTCCAGAATGGTTGTTTGGGGAGTTGAGATCACAGGATGGTCCCAACAAACTTCTTATTCTGGACTGTAGAGCACACTCGGACTTCTCTGATGCTCATATAAGAGGTTCGGTACCTCTGACTATACCCAGTATCATGTTGCGAAGATTGGCTGCTGGTAAAGTGGACCTCTTGTCCACAATACGGTGCTTAGATCTAAGAAACAGAGTGGAGATGTTTTTGTGTGGAGATGAAAACAGAAGAGGGACGTTTATACTAATCGGTGATTCTACAGATTCTGGAGGTCATCAGGGTGAAACATTACAAGTTTTAAGCCGGAGACTTAAAAGCAGTGGAGGAAATGTTGCCTCTTTAATCGGTGAGAGATCAATCTTTATCCCATATTCTAAGCAATTTTAATTCCATTTAAGATCACACAAAATTTGATATTTTAAACATGATATTCTAACACATGATGCATCAAGTTTTTATATTTGAAACTAGAATCAATCTTTATTCCAAATACTAATTCACTGTAATTCCATTTCCATTAAGATCACAAAGTTTGATATTTTAAATGCATTGAGCATCAATTTTATATTTGAAACTAGAATACTTTCATTGTTTTGTTCCTGAATGATATATTGTGTGTAAATGTGAATTTAAAACTTGCAAAAAATATGATACAATATATACAAACTGATATCAATATTCCAATTTCTGATAAATTATTATTTGTGACATTTCAGAAACTTTTGTGTAATTAATATATTATTTTAACAAACGTTTCTAAATTTAACTATTAAACATCATACAATAGTTGTTAATTATAACTCTGTATTCATATCATTTTATTGTCATATATATGTGCACAAGCAGCATTAGTAATTGTAGTATAGAAAGGCTTTCAGATGTAACAGTCAAAGCATAGAGACTGGTTGTGAATGAAATATTGATTTATGTGGGAGGCATTCCAGTAGAACCAGACACTTAATTCTATAGCCAGCTTTTATCTGGCTTTAGATAAAACTGTTCAGTCATTCAATGTTTTGTTTGACATGAGAAATTTACTGATTGCAAATGTATTAATACACACATTGAATGCAAAATAGAATATTGCTTACTTGTTTCAAATTTTGTTTTAGGACCTTGTTAATAAGTATTTTAAGAAAATGCATATATTGAAGGGATATGAATATGCTTGTGTGATTATTAATTTTTCCTGAGTGTTATTATATGTGCAAAATTTAGTTTTTAACTTATAATTAGTTAATGATGAGTTTATTGGAAATTTTGGCAAAATTTATTTTTAATTTGGAAATATTGATACTTTTTCTAATCATATAGAATCAAATTTCATTTTTTAATTTTATTTAATTAATAGATTTAATTAAATAGATTTTAATTTAGTCTCAAATAATTATATTATCACGTTATATTTATATCTTTGTAGGTGGTTTTGAAGCATTTAAAGATAAATATCCAGAGTGGTGCGAAGGTAGTCAAGCCACTAATGAATGTGACCCAGGTCAGGACAATAACGATGGTGAATTAATGGGCCTTAGATCCCTTCGGATATCTACTCCACCAACCAGGTCTTATTCAGACTCTGACAGTGACAGCACATGTGATTCAATTGGTGAGCAGATATTCTAAGTATATGTATTTTCACTATACAATTAAAAAGAACCATGCAACAGCAATTTATATTAATTTATATTAATTTATATTAATGAACAACAATGTAATACATAAATAATGTAATGCTGTAATATAATAATAGAAAAAATAATAGTAAAAAACGTGACGTAATAATAATAGAGTAAATTCGTTTTTTTTGCATTTCCAGGTCCGGAGGAAGATAAAGACTTTCCGGTGGAAATTTTACCTCATTTGTATCTCGGTAACGCGGCGAATAGTGAAGATCGTGAGGCTTTAGCGCGGCACAGGATACAGTACATACTCAATGTGACACCGGATTTGCCAAATGTATTTGAAAGCGGCGGTTCAATAAAGTACATGCAGATACCGATAAGCGATCACTGGAGTCAGAACTTGGCTAGTTTTTTCCCGCAAGCGATTCAGTTTATAGGTGAGTGACGATATATAAAGCATATTTTTATTAAAAACTAAATTCAAGTAAGAGATAAAAGTATTTTTGTTATTGTGTAGTTAATTTTAGGATTTAAAAACTTTGATTTATACTGTTTTAAAAATTGCTTTTTGTAAGCATGTTTATAATTTAGTAAATAGTGTATTTTTTCAAAAACTCGTTGCATGAAACGTACACAAAGAGACGAAGCGTTTTTGTTAAAATAAAAAAATTATCAGCTATCGATTGATATTTCATACTCTTACTCCGTTTTCAATGAACGTTTCGTCATTCACACGCTTGCTTTACTGTAAAAATTATATACTAATTACCTATATCAGTGATCAATATATAATATCTACAATTTAAATAAAATATTTTATGTACCATGCGTTAATAAGAGAGTTTCTTAATATAAAGTGTTTAATTTACAATTCATATTTCATATTATTTTAACATACATACATGAGAAGTAGTACAGAATATGCGAGTGATGTGAGATTTATTTATTGCATCGGAACTTTTTTCGTGTCAAAATCTTGTTCGGACCGCTTCTTAAACAGGATTTCCTGTTTAAGAAGGTCCCCGCGCAGCTTCTGAAAGGGGCATTCTTATAAATAGGTTCGCCTAAATAGAAACTTTCCCACGTGGTGGGTAAGCCACGCTAGACAATTAAACAACGGATGTCCGGTTAGGTCGAGAGCTATATTTACGTCTGAATGACGAGGTTTGACATTGCTATTGAGCCGGTCTGACATTTTTGACTATCCTGATATATTGCAATGTTGATGATCCGACTTCCCTTTGTTAATTCCATTTAAACGAATTTGTCATGACATGCACTGTTTTCTGTAGCATTTTTATCACAATTTTCTAATTAACGAACATTGAATATATCGAAGAATAGTAATTGTAAAAAAAACGCTAATTAATATCTCCTATTTGTATAATTTTTATTAGATAATGGAGTTCTTAAGTAACGATGTCATATCTCAATGTTTTAACGATATTAATATTAAAGTATATTTTTCAATTTTTCTAATATCAACTAATTATAAAATCCAACTTTTATTATACTTTGAAAAATCATCGTAAAATAATTTTATGTGTTGCATATTTCATAATTTCGTGTAATTAAAAAAATTCCTGAAATACAAATAAATATTAAATATCAACATAATAATAAGCGAAATGATGATTACAAAATCGTAAGATTAAAATTGTTATTTGTTACGTATTTTTCAGAGGAGGCACGGAACTCAGATAAGGGAGTGCTGGTACATTGTTTGGCCGGAGTTTCTCGGTCTGTCACGATCACCGTGGCTTATCTTATGCACAAGTGCAGCCTCAGCCTGAATGATGCTTTCAATCTAGTACGTAGTAGAAAGTCCAATGTTGCACCGAATTTTCACTTTATGGAGCAGTTACATAGCTTCGAGCAAGAGTTGAGGGACCGAGGGGGAGAAAACAAGAATAACGACCAAAGGTGCATTGGAGCATGCCGGCCCAATGGGCCCTGCAATTGTCCAGCGCCCAGTTTTTTGAGTCCCATTGATCTGGGACTCAGTCCCGACTCAGGAATCGAGTTTGACAGGTGGGCGGCAAGTACACCGGCCGAATGAAACGAACTTGGGGGTACCCAATACAAATTTTAGGTCTCCGTCACATGTATTATCAGGAAAATCCTGATCGAACGTTATGATAACGCGCTTTATCATTTTTGATATGTGAGACGCATTAAAGTCCGCCCTTCGCGGTATATCTCCAGATGAAATGGGATATTAAATGCGTTTGGCGAGTGCTGAGACGTAGCTGTTAGAGGCATCCGAAGTTAGTTATCGTGTCGATACTTCGTAATTTCTCGTTTTCTTTCTATCGAGCCTCTCATTCCTAGCGTAACTATTGTATGGCTACGTTTATTAAAGATACATAAAGCATTTGAATTCGATTTGATTAATTGAATTCTGAAATTGAATTTTAAAAAGATTAATTTCTAAAGACACTCATGCAAGAAGTGTCTTTAGTATCGTGCTACTCATGCAACGTGATATAGAAGAAAATAAACTTTCGTCTAAATTCAGAAATAATAAAATTGAGGAATGAGAGGATTAAAAAAAAGAAAAATATATATGTCCAATTAGAAAGAAATTATCTCTTTGTTAGATGATTAGCTTTTCAGTATACGCATTCAGTAATAATGCGCTTTGATACGATTGATACCTTTTTGCAAAAAAAGAAATTTTTATAATGTTCTTTTCTGAATTGTTGTAGCAGCAAAGGATATTGAAAGTATTTTGTAAATGAGATTCCGTAATTTCTCATCGCGCAACAGTCGCGCAATTGTAATTGTACATTCTGATGTTATGCTTCCAAGTTTTGAGAAACTTTTAGCATGTATGATTGTAAACGGTATGCGAGATATATTGGATTCAAGCACTGTATACTCGCGAGGTATAAAGTAATGCATACCGCCGTACCTCAAGAGAGTTCTAGAACGTATATACATATACATACATATATATATATTCATATATATATATATTTTAATACTTCTTTCCCCAAATCCTTCAATTATTGAGGCTGTGTTTATTTTACTGCAAGCGATATTTCATGCGCGAAGTAATCTCTAAACGACGAGTTCCCACCAGGCAATTAAAAGTAAATATCACTGCTTAGTATACTAAGTTCTATGGTACAATTAAGGGAGATCTTGTATACATAGAGGCGTTATTTGAAGTTTCACGTGGGCACGAAATGGATTTCGAATAAGACCGACAATTTACTCGCGATATTCGTGTAAGCTACAAAGAAAGCACAGATATTTTCTTTCGGAAACTGGCTTTTCCGAAATCTGGAGGCCCAAGAAAAGGCCAAAGTTCCAGTCAACTGATTCTTAAATCCGCCACCGAGCTTCTACTCAACTGTGGTAGTTTATGTAAAAAGTAAAACTCGAAATTTGTAATGAGTAATTTTCGGTGTAGTTTTTCGACACACTAAAGTAACTTACGCCGGATAATCGCCTCAATGCATTCTGACCTTCGAGACGCGCGAAAGGTATATGCACATCGCCTCAGGTACATATGCCAGTAACTTAAGTTTAAGGGAGGACACATCTTAGGAATCAGTGCATTTCTGTAGGGCATTCCTAATCTCTCCTGCTCATGAGAAAACCAGGTTCGTCACCGGTTTTAATGGAGTTAGAAGAATTTGCGTCAACTTGCGTCCAAGTCACTTGAAAATGATACATGAAGGCGTTACTTTAAAATTTCATTCTTTATTTGCAGTGCAGAGTTCTTATGAAAATTTAAAAGAGAATTTAATTAATGCGCTGTTTTATTAGTATGTAGCACTAACAACACTTATCATAAAAGTTACAGATTTGATTTTTTAAGTTATTTTTTGTAAAAGTATTTGTTAATATTTGTTTGTTTCATTTACAGCCCTTGATGGGTTAGAGCTTTTAATGTAAAAGCGCTGCAATTCTATGTAGATCTTGGTTTCTTCATTGATTTTTTAATAGTTTATTTCTTAACATCTATATATAATGTTGAAATTACAGTTTTTATTAATTTTATTTTAATAATTGTTTTTTATTTTTTAAATCTAAATTAAATGTTTTGTATTATTAAACTATTAAAGTAACGCTTTCAAATATCGGAAATTGGTTTGATTGTCAAGCAGACTCCGTCGTCACATACAAAAATCTGAAAGATAATGGTTCCTGCACGTTACATTTTTGCTGGCATTAGAGCAATATTAGCCCTTCAGATTTTTTACATAGATACTTTTTTACACGAGGATGTTGGGCCTGTGCATTCGTATGAAAACGCATCTAGCTATACATTGCTAGTAATAACTCGTGCGCTAAATTGGATTCCGAATTGAATCAGCACTGTTTCTATTATCTTACAGATCTCAGATATATATTAAAAGTTATTTTTGTAAAAAAAAAAAAAAAAGAAATGCATTCACATTCCCGAGCCAAAATGGCCTGACACTGTAACTACCTTTCATCTACTATTATATGTATCGTTCATTGAGCATAATTGAAGTTAATATGAGTGTATACAAATGAATGTTATTTTTGGTGTAATAATTAACTGCAAGAGTTACGTAATTAATAGCTCGTGGCTATTACGGAAGTAAATTGATATATAACTAAGGAAATATATATATTTGACGTTAACGTAATAACAATATTCTACTATTACACTGTTGTCTGTTGTATGTTTACTGGGTGCGTGTGCCCGAGAAATTTAATCAAATATTATATGTGTATATTATATAAATTATTATTTTATATTCAACATTGTACATATATTTTAATTAATTTTCATTAGAAACGCAATGTATTTTACTTAACTATAAGTAATCCATTGTCATTTAAGCAGGTCATTTACATTCCATGCAGATAACTTCATCTCTTATTTTCCAAATTTGTTTGATGATGTAAAACAAACTATAGCCTTGTTCAAATTAATGTGAACAAAAAGTAATTTTTACATTTATATATATTTATTATACAAGGATTTATAGTGTTTTTATATATATATATATATATATTACAATATTTTTTATTAAATACTTAAAAAATTTGTAATAAATACTATAAATCCTTTTATATAATAATTTATGTATATAAATTTAAAAACTATTTCTTGTGCACATTAATTTGTATAAAACTATACCTATATATGCGCGTTGTACACATTTATACGTTGGGATATTATATCTGCCATGGCAATAGTAATAATTCATTCAGTTTCTATTATCTGAACATGTAAGTCATTTTAATTTTTTCCCTATATTGCAAACACTTTAATTTATTTACGTACTTCTGGTGTAAAATCGATAATAAAATCTGGAGAATCTATTCCTTCGAATTTTGTATTATCGATGTATATTATAAAAAATATGTATTATGTATCTCTTGAAAACATGTTCGTTTAATAAGGAATATTTATGTATATATGCTTTACGACAAAATGAAATTAAAAAATACGTAAAAGCCCTAAACACATATCATTTTATCTTAGCCCCGAACAGTCAATATGTATGTCGAATAACTTTATCTTGGTCAGTTGTAACGAATAATTGAGCATAAATAAATAAATTGTTAAGATATTAAAATTTTAATTGCATGAGTTCAACTAATAAATTGCCGTAGATGCACTGAAAATATATTTAAAGATATTGCTTATTGTTTTTGCACAAAATCTAACATTTTTGTACTTTTTGTAAATGTAACTGTTGTAATCTATTAATTATGTAAGATAAATTTAGATTTTTTTTAAATGTTTTGTAATATGGAAGGGCATATATAGTACATCTAAATGATGAATATAAATTGTATAAAAATGTATTTATTTTTACATTTGAGCAACCGAGCTGCAAAACATAGATACACGTGCAAACTTATTTTATCTTAGGTTTTTAGTCGCATTTACCGAAATTATATTAGTGCATCACAAAATGTTTTATATTCACCATTATCGTAATTAATTATATATAATTGTAATCTTTTCAATCTCTTTTCTCGTTTGATTAATTATTACCGAGATTATTTTCATAATTTTACAAGCAGCGCGTTCCACTGCTCATAAACGCATTAGATAATCAAATCGATAATCTGTTTGGAACAGTTTACCACTTTATTTGACATACCGAGGTCAGTTATGCTTTCTGATAAAGTTCTAAGAACATGTAAAGCAGTTTCGGATTGTCGTACAGCGCTAATTAGCTCATTACGATTACTGGGATCTGGAGTAGCTAATAATGTTCCTAGTCCAACCAGAGCTCTGAACATTGCTTCGGGTTCATTTAAACGAGGCAATACAGTAAATAATATATTTAGAGCTCTCGTTCTACCAGGTGCATCGTTATATTTATTAAGCGCTACGATCAAATTCAATATATAAGTTGATATTGCAACCTGTAATGTAACATCACAATCTGTAAGCTCATTTATCTACAAATCTTATTTTATCTTATACCGTTTCCGGTTTTTCATATAAAAAAAATATCACTTTATATTAAAATAATTGATATAAAATTGAAGATTGCATTTGATTATTTTATAAATATTTGTGCGATTTAAACTTTCATTAGGCCTTTGTTTTTAATTATTTTAATAATTGATGTAACACACACATACCTGATTATTTTTGTTTCCAAAAGACTGTAGATCCAGTAGAGACGTGAGTATTTCATCCTTATAATCTAAACAGAGTTTCTCTCCCTTTTCATGTTGGAACATATTGGCTATCAGACGAAAAGTAAGCATTTGATTTGACAAAGTTGCGTTGGATTTGATATGCCTTCGTATGACCGATAGCAATTCTTCGGTACACAGTTGATCGTTTATTTCTTTGTGAAGTACAGCGAGCCTCGCTATATCAAGAGCTGGGAACACTACGTCGTTGGGCCAATCTAGAGAACTCTTTAGTGCGCTGATAGCGCTGGCTGTGATTTCTTCAGACACTTGATTACTCATAAATTTTTCTATCGCATTCAGCTTCTCCTCGGGTATTTTAAATATATTTTCTTGTTTATTATTTAACTCATGTAATTTTTCTGTAATTAATTTTATAAATGTTTTACTGATAAAGAGTAAAAATTATGTTGCATTTTTCCATTATATCTCTAATCTTAAATCTTACTTACCGAGGATAGCAGATAAATTTGCTTGTTCTAATTTTAAATATTTCAAGTGAGGTATATAAGAGGGAGACGCAGATGTGATGGAAGAATTAAATGTCGATGTTTGTGCACTAACATCGGGTGTATTAGACGATGTTCCTGATCCAGGAACATATCGGCTTCCTCCTGTAAAAGGATCTACATATTGCGACCCAGTATTTAAAATTGGAACTGGTTCAGAATTTTTTACTACAAAGTTTGCAACCTAAAATACATAAATCTTTTTTTCAGATTTGCGATTTTTAATACTAACATTTTTTAATACAAACAGCAATAAATAAAGTGTAAAAGATTGTATTTACTTTTCAAAATGTATACCTGATCTAAGAACAATTGACTGAGATTATTGTCATGAAGGAACTTCTGTGCAACGTGCCAGGGATCTTGGCCCTTATTATATGGAAGTTTTAAAGGAGGCACTCCGTCTTGTATGTCGACTGAAAAGACATAATCGTATTCTATGCCATTGTAAAGTTGTTTTCCAGAGGTAGCTGCGGTACCACCA